GAGTCAGTATCTCCCTCAGCTGATGAAATACCCAAGGTTGGCATAAACCTGGGAAATCCTGTCTCAACTCCCCACAGTGTGGGGACTACAGATTTTCACTCCTACATCCCACTTAAACCTCTCCCCCTTTAAATTATGGGTGCTGGGTGTTATACCACAGGGATGGAAAAGCTAATACATGTATTTTTGTGCTCAATGTGAAGGAACTAAAAAACAGAGGCTGGAGATATAAGCAGAAAGTCATGTCCAGCACATGGATAAGGACCTCTGCAAATGCAGAATAAAGAGCCACAGACAGAGCGGAGGGGCTTAGGCAGATGGCGTGAAGGAAGAAGCAAAGAAAGGCAGACGTGACATGAAGACTTTGAAGGGGCTCCTGCCTCGTCTCCTGATGCCTCTGAGAAGCAGCAGGAGGCTCTTCTCCTAAAAGAAAAGGAGCTACACGGTGAGTGGAGGAGTTAGGCATCTGAGGACACCAGAGATATCAAACGGTCAATCAGAAAAACTGGCGAGAGAAATACAAGCATTCTCCAGTCCCTTCCTTGAGTGTGCATCCCCACCACGGACCTGTGTGGCCCATGAGAAGTATGATGCGCTCTGGATGCCTCGCTCTAACAAGAGTGATTCTGAGCAAGGGGTGACGGCACATGTCTGTAATTCTAGCACCCTGGGAGACTGAGGCAAGAAGATTGTAAGTTTGAGCCCAGCCTGGGCAACTAAGCAGGACCCTGTATAAAAATAAATAAAACAAAGCCTGGGGATGTAGCTCTATGAGTAGTCCTAGTTCAATCTTATAAGCAAAAGGAAAGAAAGAAAGAAAGAAAGAAAGAAAGAAAGAAAGAAAGAAAGAAAGAAAGAAAGAGAGACAGAAAGAGAGACAGAGAGAGAGAGAGAGAGAGAGAGAGAGAGAGAGAGAGAAAGAAAGAAAGAAAGAAAAAGAAAAAAAGAAAGAAAGAAAGAAATTTTTTGTACTTACAAAGTAACCTACACACCCAGGATATGAAACTGTAACATCCTAACAGGTATTTTCATCAGCACGCTTCAAAAAAATTAACTTCAAGCCCCTGTCTTAGTAAATGCCTTATGGTAAAACATGAGACTGAAAAAACATACTATGTAATCAAACTGAGAATTGAAGACAAAACACTATAGTGAAAAATGTCCTAAGTGATTATAGATTTCTATTCAGAAATAAATTTCTAGTATTAAATGTTTTTTTCCAATTTACTTTTGGGCAAAAGGTTATTAGCACCATAAAAAAAAGTTAATAGAAAAGTATAATGTAAGACAAAGACATGTTATTATATTTTGCATGAATGCCTGCTATTGAGAAATTATCAGTTTTTAAAAACAACCATTCCTAGCTCATTAAGGAATAGCCAATTACATCAAATCCCAGCTCCCATTGTGTTTTGTTTTCCAATTAGTAGTATTCGAGAGACAAGAGCACAAGTTGTAATATAAACTGTACACTTGCATGATAAAAAGACATAAAGGACATAGGAGTTTTTATCCAACTAAATCACAGAGTTCATTTCCAGATTTGTTTTATTAATATTGTAAACATAATATTAAGTACACTCACTTTCTCCTCTTATTCTACCCTTAAATCTTAACTAGTATCTGTGACTAAAAGCAGGTAAGAAGAATTAATACATGGGTCTGGGATAACTATTTAAAATAAGTCTTTTAAGAATGACTACAAATCCCAGATGGCGATACAACTCTAATCTCAGCACTCAGGAGGCTGACGCAAAAGGATCACAAGTTCAAGGAAAGCTTGGGCCATGTAATGAGTTCAAGACTGTCTGAGATTACACAGTAAGACCCAGTCTCCAAGAAAACAAAGGAATGACTGCAATTGTTCAAAGCATGCATGAAACGATAATAAGAAAAGGAACACAAGTTGAAAACAAGAAGATACTTGTGAACTATCATGAATGTAAACCCAGCAAGGACTAACAATGTTGGTAAGTACAGACTGAGGGCACAGGGACAGGGGAGAAGGCAAGGAGAATGGGAACGGACAGGAGTGTCACCCACACTCCCAGTTACAAAACACAATTTCCAGCCTATTTACAGCCAATCATGGCAGCCATGTAACTGAGCTCAGGTCAACAAGATATAACAGGTGTTGTATAAAATTTCCAGGTAGGACAGACCATCTTCACTGCCATCCAGAGCCCTAAAAGGTGCCTTAGACGATGGAGTGAGTGTCCTTGAGTGGGACACTAGTTGCCATGTGCTTGGAACTGGAAAAGGACAGTAGTCTGTGTCTCCGAGCACTTTGTGGAGCTCCCACAGTACCAGGAAATGCCCCGCATCTGGGCTCTGTGCAGGAGAATAAATATTTGCATGATCAAAGCACTGGCTGAACCTCGCTACTATCCAGCCTAACACAGTTCATAACTGGTAACAGAAGCAGGCTTCACAGACCAAGGCTCGACAGATAAACGCAGTGCTTCTCCCTTGGCCCCAGGGTTTCACTTCAGTTTCACTTACCCATTGTCATCTATGGTCAAAAATATTTAATGGAAAATTCCAGACATAAACAACTCATAAGTTTCACCTTTCATTACAGGACACTGTTATCATTGTGCTATGTTATTAATACTAACCACCGATCATGCTTAATTCATATAAATTAAACTGCATGACATATAAGAAAAAATAGTGTATTTACTATCTCAGGTTTCACATATCTGCTAGGAGTCTTAAAAAACATTCCTTGCAGATAAGGGAGGACCAGTGTACAGAAAGACAGTCACAGACAGAAATCACGGAGACACTGACAAGTTCAATAAGCAGATTAAGCAGAAATACATTAAATATAACATTTGGTTCAATTCCCAGTACCAAAAAGAAAGAAAAGCTAGCTACATTTTAAAAAGTGAATAAGTAGCATGTGTGTGTATTCAGAGAAAGAAGTCTAGAAAGATACTCATTATCGTATTACCTGAGGTAATTTCTAGAAATAAAATTATGAAGATTATCCATTTCCTTTAATGTTAATTGGAATTTTTAAGTGTTTTGGTAGAATTTTCATAATTAGAATAAAGTATGGCTTTTAATTGACACACACATAACTAGCCAGGTGCTGTGATGCACACCTGTAATCCCAGCCCTCAGCAGGCTGAGGCAGAAAAATCACTAGTACCAGTTTGAGGCAGTCTGGACAATATAATGAAACCCTGACTTACAAAACAAAACAAAACTGAAAAAAAAAAAAAAAAAAAAATATATATATATATATATATATATATATATTTGGCTTTAATTTGTGGTTTATTTTTTATTACTTGTTATAATGACATTTTTGGCAAAAACTGTGCTTTCATTATCAATGTCTTCTTCATTATCAATCTCTTTATCCTTAGTACATAAAATACATTGAAGGCAAGTCTATTTGATTTTTTAATGTCTAATTATAATACGTGTCATTAGTAGGATAGGCACTATCTTACTGTAATCTAGTATGATAGTGAGTCTTTAATCTCAAAGGTGAATATGAAATAATATGTAAATAACATGTACGAATATTAGGCGTAGAAACAAACTTGATCAACTTATTAATAAACCACATCCTCAAGATCCACAAAGATTAACATAAAAAAGAAAGGCTTTCCCCACCTTATTAAGACAAAGTTTGGGAAGCTGGTGGTGGTGGTGCACACCTGTAATCCCAGCACTCAGGGCAGGAGGCAGGAGGATCACTGCAAGTTCAAGACCACCCTAAGCTACAAAGTGAGCTCAAGGCCAGCCTAAACTGTAAAACAAGACCTCGTCTCAAAAAGACAAAAAAAATAAAAAGAAAAAAAAAAAGCTAGGCATGGTGCTACATGCTTATAACCGCACGACTCTGGGAGGCCCCACCAACCTTGTACCCACCTTTTCTCAAAAAATAAAAAGGTCTAGGAACATAACTCAATGTGAAGAACCCGGGTTCCTCTGTACTGCAGAGGCAGAGAGACGGAGAGAGAGACAGAGAGATAGAGACAGAGACAGAGACTGAAAATGAACTGATGGATAGAAAAGCAATCGAAGAAAAGAGCCCCCGAGATCCGGCCATGGAGGGACTCAGGCAGCTTATTCACCCGCCCTCTTGGTAAGTGCCGGCAGCGTGGGCCTGGAGAAGAACCATTACCTGTGCGCCTACTGCCATGCAACCTGAAAATCAAGCACCCTTCTCCCACCTGCCCCCTCCCCCCTTAGCTACTGGGGATAGATGTTTCAGCATCTCTTGGGAGGATGATCATACGCAGTATAGCAAATATGGGGGATTTCCTTCTAACTTCTGTTTGAAGGCATAGGTTGTTTTCACTGTTTTGTTATGTTTCTTTTGCTCTATTCAGTATTCTCAATTGGTTTTATAATGTTCTATTTTTGGTTTGATTTCACTATATCTAATTGACTGGACAACTATTGTGAAGTTAAAGAGATATACAATAGTACCTATTACTACTATACCAGTATCCTACTGTGAAATCCTGTACCAATTTCACTGCATTGTCTCCACTGGCTTTGTTCTGTCTTGTGCTGTTGCATTTTTACTACTTTCAAAATTTAAAAAAAAAAAAAAAAAAAAAACCAGAAAAGCAATCCAACAAGTAAAGTAACTGCATAAAAGACCTGCCTGAATGATTCATGCATTGAGTAACAGAACAGTATCGAGTTACACAGTAACTACTCCCTTCTAAAAGAAAAGCATAATAGTAGTACAAAATTTTTTAAATTTTGGGAATCTATTGTATGGAAACAACTACACACTCAAGCACCAACAAGGAAATAAAAAGTTCACACAGATAGGAAACTGCCCAGATGGGACATAAGGGTGAGGAATCAGCCATGTTTTCTCCTAAGTCCATACTCTGGTCTCCAGGCTTGCAACCTCCAACAGGGATCTCCAAAGCCAGCTGCCTCTTCCCAGATCCCCACCACTCTCCATCTGATCCCCCCAGGGACGGGCGGGGCTTCCGTCTTAGGCAAGGACAAGAACCCACCTTCCCACCGGCCAGTCAGCACCAGGCTCCGATTAATGACCACGTCAATTTCCTTAGCCCCGTCTTCCACAGCCAGTCTGATCTCTTCTAGCCGTGTTTTTAAGTGAGTCTGTGCAGCTGGAAAGCCAGTGGCCACTAAACAGAAAAGAAGGAAAAAAGGAAGAAAGAGAGGGAGACAGGAAGATAGAGAGATAGAGATTGGGGGAATAAAAACAAATTTCAATTGGTTAATAACTCAATCAAGAAATTTCACTTCCAACTCATCCCCCCCCAAAAAACCCAACATTTAGAAACTAAAGCACTCATGTCACTTGAGAACATCATTTATAGAGTTGAGCATAGTGCCATAAACCTATCATTCCAGCATCTGGGAAGCTGAGGCAGGAAGATGACATGTTCAAGGCCAGCCTGGGCTACAAAGTGAGATCTTGTCTCAAAAAAGCAAAACAGCCGGGCATGGTGGCTCACGCCTGTAATCCCAGCACTCAAGAGGCTGAGGCAGGAGGATCGTGGCAAGTTCAAGACCAGCCTAGGCTACAAAGTGAGCTCAAGGCCTGCCTGAACTGCATAGAGAGACCCTGTCTCAAAAAGACAAAAAAAAAAAAAAAAAAAAGAAGGACTTCACTTATACATAACATAAATGTGAAGAAAGAAAATGTTCTAACATTGCTTTGATGTTAGGACAAGTATTACGTTCTCTGGAAGACCTCAAATTAAGATGTGCAGAGAGGCTTAGGAGGGCATACTAAGTAGCAATTTAAAAAATGTGTTCTCAACACAGCAGCAATCATCAAACAGTAGCTGTAGGTTGTTTTGATGAAGACTAGTTAATTCAGGATCCTATTCCTGACCAAGCTGGCCGTCCTCCTTTATTCACTTACGGTTGATTTAATATTGATTTATTCACTTGTGCACTAACCTCTTTAGATGCAGAAAGCAGATTATAATATTTAACATTTAGATATAATTTCTTACTATGTTCTGTCTTAAAACAAAGAGCTAGGCACATGAGAATAAAGGGAAGAACACTCAAGTGGAAGAAAAACACCTAATCAATCCAGAGAACTGGAGAACAGAACTAGCAACTAAAAAAATAGAAATAAATAAGAAAAATGAACATGTATATGCACTTGTGAAAAAGTAAAAGATTATCCTTCCTAAATGAGAAAATGAAAGAACATCAACATTTTTGGAAAGTATTAATAACTTCGTATCTACCATTCATTTCACCCCGTCTGTAAAAAAGAACCGACTGTCTTTGCTTGACGTTATTAAGTTCCTTTGGTCTGCTGTCTTAGTGGGAAACACACCTCCCTGTTGTACAAATAAAAAACTGAACAGATGAGACCGATGAAAAGTGAAGGTCTCCAAAAGCTTTAAGGATTCTTACAAATAAGTTGTATATACAATATACCATATTTCTTTTGATGTGTTCCTCACAAAACAGATTAGATTTTTATTAGATTTTAACAGATTTTAAATAGATGTTTTTAAAAAAAGCAAAATATAAAAAGGGCAGAAGTAATACAGAATTTCAAAAAAAAAATAGTAAGAAATCAGCACTAGTAATATATTACATAGTGTTATTTTAGTTAGAAGTAGTTGTTCAAGGTGTAAAATCTAAGCATAAAAAAATGAACAGACAATCAAACAATGACAGCACAAGCTATTCTTTTTGATGAACTAACAGAATTAGTAGTCTGGTTATCTATGTTGCACACTTATACATACAGTTATATGTGTACACCTACAAGTTGTTCTTTCCTTTTGAGCACTTTTTTCTTTCATTATTACAATATCTTTTACACATTTTGGATCTTTTACTCTTCCGATTTTTCATTATTATTTATTTTTTATACTAGAGAGACCATACGGTATTCACAAATGTGAGTCTGATTTATTTTACTTATGAGTTGAGTCTCAAGTTACCTCCATTTTTTTTTAAAGACCACTTTTTTTAAAGTAGCAGGATACTCTTCCAACATCTTTAAAAGCAGAATCTAACTCTGAATCTGTCTGTCCATCCATCCACAGACAGACTCACTCAAATCAGACTTGGGAACGCCTTCTCCAGCCTACCAAGTCCCCCCGACTCCACCTGGAGCCAGGCACTCCTGCCAGTGCCATCTTTCATGAGTCTTCTGCACTTCTCTCCTCTGCCACAGGGGCTGGGATGACTCCCCCAATTCCACTTCTCCCTTCCTAACCTGTCCCTGCCACCAGCTATGCCAAGAAGCTCAGCAAGCCACGACTCTACTTAAAACCTTTCTGAGCTACACTCATTGTCAGAATAAAGCTCAACGACCACGGCACTGCAGGAAGGACCCAGGCCACTGCGCCCAACTCCCACCGCTCCCACCTTGCCCTTCCCCTGGACCCTCCTGTTGCCAACACCTTTCAGTTTCCTGAACGTGCTTCTGCGGCTTCACTTGTTAGCTCCTGGCCAAAGGCCATTCCCTCCAACCAACACTGTCACCTCCTCTGCAACCTTCAGAACCTAAAATAATGATCACCTTTGCTGAGAGTCAGCAACCTTTGCAAAACAAATCACTGCCTGCTCAGTTACAACTTCTGTGCCTTTTGCATGTCTTTATTCCTGTATTTGTGTGACACACACAGACCTAAACCAAAATAATATGCACAAGTGCATATGTAAATACATTACATGTTGTAATTTTTCAACCTGATTATCCTTCCTGCACGAACCAAGTTTTCTTAAGGATGGGGATACAGACCTATATTCCTAGGACTGAAGGCCTGCTCTTCATCAAATAAGGAAAAAGTACTAAAATCAGGAATCAATATAACTAATGTAAAATTAAACAGTAGTATAAATGTATGCATAATATCCCACACTGAGTTGAAGATAGAAACCTGTTCAAAAATAACAATGAAGGCCATGACCAAACTCACCTGATGCCACCGGAATGTCACAGCCCGCAGCCTTTAGGGCTTTCACAGCGTCACAAACTCGAGCAGGATAAACACATACAGCAGCCGTAGTGATGCCTTTGAAGCAAGAAATCGTAACAGCCTACTTTATATGTGGTTCAACTCACACAATATCACAATATGCTTTTAATTACGGTTTATACTACAACACTGGCAGAAATCAAAATAAGAGAAAAACTAATTCCCCCACATGCAGCAACACATTGAAAGGTTTTTACTTCCACACTGTCTCTTAGTTCTCCAACACCTTTTTTGACTGCTGTGCTAATGGAAATCATTTTGATACATTGTTCTTTGAGGTTAAGCTGAGGCACTATTTTGTTTACATTCCTTAAAAAATAGTCAATGAAAATACTTCATTTCATGTTGAAGATAAAATCTAGGTTGTACAACATTCTAAGAGGACAATAGATGTAAGGTAAGTGAAATGTAATATAAGTATGATATAAAAAAAGTAAGTGAAATTTATAGGGTTCCAACAAAGTGACATTTAACTACACCTCTTTCATCTTTTGTAGAAAATAAAACCTCAGCCTGGAGCCCTTGCTGAAGGTGTATGCTCTTCAATTTAAAAAAATTAAAAATAAGCCACTATAAAACTAAGCAGCATCATAACCTCATACAAAGTTGTTACTTTTAGCAGAGGATTTCTGATTGTTTTTTGCTTTGTTTTCTGGTGCTGGGGCTTGAACCCTGGACCTCACACACACTAAGCATGTGGCCAGTCACTCACTCACACTCACAGTCTCAATAAGGTGTTTGATGGTCAACTAGAAAGAAACACAATCAATACTTCTCAAACTACTATGATGCCTGCCTCAGGTCACTGTGACATCTCTATTCACATGTATGATAGATGGCAGGCACTTTGGAACCACGAAGCATCTGTCCGCAGAGAGATCCGGCTCCTAAACCAGTCTGCTAAACAGCAAGACATGCCATGTTGGAAGAACCTTTGAGTCTTCCACTTCTCAGTTTCCTCACTTCGAGAGGAAGGGGAAGAGCCAGGCACAGGCTGATGCATGCCTGGAATCCCAGCACTCTGGGAGGCCAAAGCAAGAGGATCACAAGTCAGAGCCTGAGCTGGGTACCTCTGGAACCTAAGATCCTGTCTCCAAATAAAAAATGTTTAAAATGGAGTGGGGATGCAGCCCTGGATTCAGTCAGAGACAGAGACTCCATTTCTAAAATTAGCTCCAAATTTAAGGCAACTTTAGAAATTCTTTCTCTTGTGCCTACTGAGGAAGTGAAAGACCTCGTATACAAGCATGCAATATTTACGATTTGCGTTTTATTCTCTAAAGTATTTCATTTACTCAGAGAAAATACTTTTATGTTTGAGATGTGATTATTAAGTAATGAGACTGTCTTTTTCATAGATGGCTAGGGAATCAGAATCAGTATTTTAGTCACTAGATACAAAACTTCCAAAGGTGAAGAGTTGAAAAGAAATATAAGAAAACTCTCAACTGCAAACTTCAATCCACCCATAGAAAGAACTGACCTAAAAACAAGTCTCAGATTCCTTTCATGCTATCTTTCAAGGAAGAATCTCAATTATGTTTATACACACATGGCCAGAGTTTTAATCACCAATTTTTATCACTGCTGTCAACTCTGCAGCGGAGTCTTAAGCTCTCTTAGAGCTAATAATTAGTACTATAAGCAGGCAAACACCAAATGCATTATATAGAACATTACCTTCATCATGCATATTTAAGGCTTTTAAGAGATCTTCCCGGATTGGGTATTTGGCTTTGTAACAGAGCCTTTGAATATTGGAAAAGGTATCATCACCTGCCAGTGTAGTGAGATCTATAAACGTAACTGCTTTCAGGAGCCAAGCAACCTGGTAGGAAGAAAAGAAACAAAATGCAAATAAAAAAATAACATTAATTTCCAACTCTGTTAGTAGAAAATCATCAGACAAATATGGATACTAATATCTGACATTTACAAGGTTCAAAGGCAGGTTATGATACAGGATAGAACCATAATTTAAGATGAACTTTACCAACATAAAGCAGGAAAAGTAGCCTTCAATTTTTTTCTCCCACAGATATCCCAAATTGAAACTTCTAATTTACCACACGCCCTCACATCTGACTTTGCCTTTCCATCTACTGTGGAACCCGCAATGGCTACACTAATGGAAGAAAGCTGCAAGATTTCTATCTTAATTTTCTCTCCCACTCTAGGGTCAGAGATGTGACATTATTTTTAAAAGTCTAAGTGACTTGTTGCTTCCTTTCAATTTAACTCAATTCCATTTTATAAAAACAAACACATCGTTATTTCACGACTCATTCTCATCAATTTCCTTTTATCTTTTTGATCAGACTATTTCCAAAGATGAGCGAAATGTGAAATGTCACTCTGAAGGAGTCAAATCAGTGTCCTGTCTCCCTCAGGAAGGGACACTGAATTTCATTTAGTCCTGCACAGCACGTCTTTGGCTGGTATACGCTGAAGAATACGCTGACCACAAGGACCGTGCAAAACATCATTTCGGGAATTCTGAAACATGATTTATTGAAAATAACAGTAAGGTAAACATGATGGTCAAAGCAGGTCAATTTTTATACCTCCAGGTCTCAACAGAGGACATATCAGGCTTAGATATTATGGCTTTAAAATTAAAATAGACGACAACTGAAGAAGGCATGTCTAAGAAACTGAGTAGCATGATGAGAAAATACGCCATTTAATTCACTCATGAATAAAGATGCCTCAAATTCATTTGCGGTTTTGCCACTCAAGAGTGATAGGATTTTTAACTTGTTTGGATAAATGTGTTATCTTTCTCCAACCCGTCATCATCATATATGAATTATTAAAATAAGTCAGGGACAGCTGCAATCTTTTAAGTTTCGATGCATCTTGAGCAGAATTCAATACCGCGGCCTTGAGGGAAGAGGCCTTGCATTGTGACACACGGGGACAGAAAGCTCCAGAAGAACCCTTACCTGCCATTCCTTCTTCACAGGTCTGCGAGCCTGGATTTGTTCTGCCCGCCTCACAACTGCCGGCTGATTCACCTGTATTTTGGAGATCCAGCTAAGGTCTGAAGGAGACAGAACAACGCTTTTTTGAAAAAGTTTAAACACAGTCGCCTCTAGTTACAGGGTACTTGAAAGGCCACATTCATCATTTGATATCAATGTTCTTTTAAAACGTATGCTTCTTTTCTCACCCAACAAATACATAGCCTTGTGGGAGGGAGGCAGGTCACCATAAGGCATACTTCACATGCATCAAGTACACTGGGAACTTGAAGAACCTGTATTGATTCCCTACACAGACAGTAATAACAACTGGGGGAGGGGAGGCTGTGCACCCCACACCACGTGCCCCTGACAGCAAAGACTTATTTGTGGATGTCTAGTCCCAGAGAGCAAATGATTAATAAATACTTACGTGAATTAATGCAGGGGCTTACAGGAATGAATCCTTGATTACTACCCCTTTACTGACAAGATTAATATCTACTAGATAGGACAGGATACAGCCCATCAAAGGAGAATTTTTCAAAACATATTAGAAATAACAATATTGATAGAACAGAAGTTAGCAAAAAGAGAAAGAGAAGCTGCTCAAAGTTCCGGAAGACATCTCTGCAGCTTCTGTTCTAAAAGTTGTTTCTTGTACCTGTTCTTAGATTCTCTTTCTGCTTCTGGTAGACTGTACCCAGCTGGCTAATGTAAGTCAGTTCTCAGACTCAGTTAACACTTGGATGTGTCTCAGCCACACAGCAAGTGTTAAACTCATCAAATAGTCGCGGTGAAGTGGGTCCTTGTACTCACCGCGTTGTGAGTCATGGCCTTCCTCACTGTGGGCCATACATCCAACACCAGGCCTGGTGCTCATGTATTTCAGTGGCACCCAGTAACGGGTAGCTACAGGACACCGTATGTATTACTATTTACTTTCTGCCAATAAGCTCATTTCTGTATCATCCCTCTAGGGATTCCAAAATATTGAAACATCAGCTCAGAGATCTTTCAAAGACTACTTACTGTCAGAAAGTTATCCACTAGAAAGAAAATGTCTTAATTACACAGTTCTGTAATAGGACAGGAGAAGAACATCAATTGCATACACAACATAACACAAATAATAATAAAGTATTTGTAGCTACCACAAAGATGAGAGCAAGAAAACCAGGAATGACCAAAGACAGTCCCTCCTATTTCCATCTACTTCTTCTTCAAATTATATTAACAGTACAGAAATTCCTAGCTGGAATCTGAATGTTTAATAATGATAGTCTTGTTTAAATATCACTAAAGAAGGAACAGAGTTTGGGTGCTTTCTTTCTCTCTAATTAAATCACTGTGCTAGCTGAAATCATTTAATAAAATGGATTTTTGTACACGTTTCAATCCTGCTGCTCCTGCTTCTCAAAGATATGTTTTCCTGCTTGTGTGCTGAGTCAACTTCACAGAGACAATGAGGCGGTCAGACAGACTTCTGCCTCTGAGTCAGTTCAGGGCAGAGTTCGAGAGATGAGGACCAGACAGCCACACTAGATTCCTCCTAATTTACCTAAGGCCTAGTACAACTTCCCCCCTTCCCAAATACTACAGAGAATCTTATTGATTGATTGACTGTGTGTTTGTGTGTTTAATCACTAGTAATGACAATTATACTGAGAATAAGGATTGTGTCAGGCAGATGGTAACAATGACCAAAGCAAAGAGTTGTGTAAACTGTGAGGCTTATGGCCAAATAACTACTGACACTAGACAAAAAGGTACAAACACATCACTCTGCAGGGCACAGCTCTAAACCTCACAGGTAGAGCATCATTTCTGTGTACTTTGTGCAATTTTGCAGTCTATTTTTACTCCATCTCCTTCACCCAGAATGGCACTGGTATCTAATTGTTTATTCCCCATTTGAGATTTAAAACTCCAAACCACCTGCCCTGCAGGAGGCAGTCTATAAGTAGTCTGAGTGGTTCATAAAGCCAGAAATGATCTAATTCTGCAGTGTCTTTCCCAACCGCTTCTCCTAGAATGGACTTTTGGACTCTTTAAGAGAACACAAGACCAAAACATGAATGGGATGCTTGGGGACATTTCCTGTAAACTACTAATTTTTAGTATAATTACCACCCAAGGTTAGAACAGCACCCAAGGCAAGGCCTTCTTACTCCTCAAACACCACTTTCCAGAGATCTCTGCAAACCACGTACTGGAGGATGTAATAGGATTACTACTCTCACAGTATGAGTCTTGACTGCTAAAACTATCATTCATGGTCATAAAATTATCCAGCCCCATATTTAATCCAGCCACAGAATTTGCCTCTGTGACCTCCCATGGCAATGAATTATATAAGTAACTATCTCATTTTATTAGCACTTAATTTGCTACTCTTTAATTTCATCAAGTAACCCTTGTTCTCATATTATGGGGTCTGGGAAAAAGAAAGGACTGATTGGTCTTTGTTATGTCCTTCATGATTTTTAATATTTCATTCAAGTACCCTTCAGTGTCTCCTTTGCAGAAGTGATTCTAATGCACACAACCTCATCAGGCCCATGGAATCTTCTTCTTATGAGACCACAGAGTGGAGGGCTTCAAGTATGCATACCTTTGGGGAGCACAGATCTGAAAGTGTAATTGAGAAACAATAATGTTCTTCTTAAAAATCTCCAAGGAAGAAAAATGTCATTGTTTCTCTATGCCGTTTTGGTGGCATTCAGGCCCTTCTGTCACTTACAAATGTGTTGTCAATTACTAGTTTTATAATCTTCTTTTATTATTATTTTTCTGGTTCAAGTCTCAGTGGAGATAGAAAACATTTTCCCCGCAAACCTCTTGGTCTAGCCTTGTTGTTACTTTTATTTGTGTTTTTGTGGATGCTTCTGTGATCCTCCTCCACACTATTCCTAAAACAGAATATAGATAATAACCCTAAAAAGGGAGATGTATTTTGAATTTGGATTGCCTTTGTTCCTAATAGATAAAAATAAACAATAATATTTTATATTAGCAATTCCCTCCAACAGAAAAGTGAGGAAGAGATTAAATGTCCCATTTGTCTATTCATTCTTTCTGAGCTTTTATATCTAACTGCAGTACCAAGTGTGTTTCCCAGTATTTCTCTAAACAATCATTTCCTGACAGGTGCTTGTATATTTTAAAGTTCCTTCTTAATTGTATCCATTGAATTGTCTATTAGTTCTGAATTGTTTGCTTTCAATTCTCATATAAATCCTTCCAGGAATTCACCACACCCTCTCATATGTATAAGTGTCTAGCACGGAGATACTTGTGCAATAAATGTGCCTCTTATATCATTGGAAATTCATGTTTCATATCAGACACTGGAACTAGTAAAACATCAGGTGATCATGTCTGATCTTTCAACCTTAGCCTTGGAAAGGCTTAGCTTGGAGAAAAAGATACCTGAGTATCATCACACATTTGATCCAACCGGGCTCATGAAACATTCAACTTACATAGTGAATTAGCAGACAGAGCCTTATCCAATGCCTAATCAAAAAGGAAAACAGACCCCATCCTGATAGCCCATGCTTACTAGCAGGTGGCATTCAGAAGTAGTCTCTCCAACCATCTAACATCCCACAAGCCTGGGCAAATGCTCTAGGGCTTCCTTCCATCCTGGGCATCAGCCAACTCTCCTAACATTCCACCCCAAAAGATGTTCAAGAAACCAAGACACCAGTGACCTGACAATATTATCACCATAGCCCCAACGGCCTTGCTATGTACAATGATACAGCACCTTCTGCCACTGCCTCAATCTATTAAATCCTATCCCACATCCACACATCTATAAGAGCATTTTTAGAGTACTAACCGAAGTAATGAGTATTGTACTACATCCTCTGAAAAACTATAACCACAACTCAGAAGGCTTGCACACCAAACACCAATCTGATCTCCCAATTCATCACTTCTGACCAAACTCATCTACTCTTGCTCACACCTCACTTCCAGCAAGCTATCATTTCCAGTATGTCTAGAATCCATCACTAAACGGATTGCAACACTTGCTGCTTACATCATCACAGTGAAAGATGCTCTGGATTTACTGCACCAGTATCTAAATTCTTGCACCTTGCTCTGCACAGTAGCATCACTATGTAGAATGCAAGTAGATTTAAGCAACAGAAAAAGGGCTGCAGTTGTCACTGCTGCTGCTGCTGCAGCTTCACTGATTCTGCCTGCCCTGCTTTCCATGGACTGTTTCTTCTCTTTGATGCCCCTCTGCGATGACAGCCTGCATTGAAGCCAATCATGGACTGGAAAGAAAGGACCAGCCACTGGTTTGACAGTCATCACTCAACTGATCTGGGCAGCAGAGCTAAAATGACAGTGCAGAACAAGACAGGTGACAGAGTTCTAGCTGCAACTCTGCCATTATGAGAAGACTGAGCTCACTAGAGAAAGTTTCCACACGCAGAGCTGCTGTGACAGATGAGTCGATGATAAACCACAGTCAAGGAGAGGGAAGGCATTTGGTACAAGCAGTGTAATACAAGTAAAGATCAACTCAGAAATGGTTATGGCCTGTTTCTAAGATGGTGATAATGGCAAAGAAGTTGGATTTGGAAGGAAAAGACATCACTGTACATACAGGTAAGGTGATTATTGGGCCATAGACATTTCTGAAATTGAGACCGACTGGAGACTTGAAATATTGGGGGGAGAGCACTATTAACAGATTTAACTAGACTGATGCATAAGATAGTACCAAAAGACAGTATTAAAAGTATGCTTCTGTTAACTCTGCATAATAAATATTCACTTAATTGAAAATTTGGGGAGGAAATAAAAATTCATTTCAAATGGCTAAGAGAAAAAGGCAAACAGGTAGAAAACATATGGTCAAATGGAGAGGCTCCTTTGCCTTTGGTGCTGAGTTATCACGTCAAGTAAGGGTGTAAATCAAACAGGTATTAAAGACGTATTTAGAACAGCATAAACTAGAACATTTCTATGTGTTTTCTTAGGTGGGGTGAACTTAAAAAGATCACAGGGAAAGCAACTAGTAATTTGAATTCAAATTAACTAAAATTAAATTTCAGTC